GATAGATGATTGATAGAGGATAGATAGATATAGATAGATAGATAGATAGATAGATAGATAGATAGATAGATAGATATAGATAGATAGATGATAGATAGATGATTGATAGATAGATGATTGATAGATAGATGATAGATAGATAGATAGATAGATAGATAGATAGATAGATAGATGATAGATAGATAGATGATAGATATAGATGATAAAGAATGAGAGATAAGTGGATAAGATAGGTAGAGGACAGACAATATAGTGTTTTATTGTCTATAAAGCTGTAATTTTTCTATCACAGTTACATGCAACAACAGAATAAAGAACTTTATGTGTGGGTACCAGCTGTGTGTAGTCTGTCGAGACTTGTCCACTCAGTCCCATTGCTGGCATTCTTCCACACTCTTTTGTGACACTGTGGCTCCTTTGTTGCAGCTGCTACTAGAAATGGAATGTTGGGCCTGAACGGAGGGCTCTGCGAAAACTCTGGGGGATCTGAAGGCACGGTAACCATGGTGATTCCTGTGTGGTGCACTGGGGACAGTCACCAAGAACAGCTTAATTTGATTAGCTAATTGCAAGTCTCCTACTCAGCCTCTGACACAACAGCTCTCCCCTCGAGGCCTCCCCTGTATCAAGACTCCAGATCGTGTCACCTCACAAAGGTGAACGCTTGTCTTTCTGTCCATCTTGAAATCTGTCCATCTCCTTGCCTGGCTGGGGCAAACATGTTCCTCGGGTCCCCAAGTTAGGGAAGGAGGGCTCAGGATGGATGGAGCAGGGACCCGGCACTTCCCTTAAGAACAGGAAGCTCTGGGGAGGTGGAAAGAAGGGGATTGACAGGAAATGCTGACCCTAGGGGCCCCAGCCCTCAGAAGGGGCTCCTTCCCACCATTCCCAGCCCCCCCACACACTGTTCCTGTGTGGTCAGCACGCATTCAGGAAAACCTCTTCTCACTAACTCGTGATTCATCACTTATCTGTCTCTCACCCCTCACCTATTTCATTTTTATTACATTCATTCATTCAAAATTACTGCCTGCCTGCTGGGGGCTGGCCTGAGAGACCTGGTTCCAGGGGTCTCTGTCCAGAGCTGAGGCCAGGGTCCCTGCTCCAAAAGAGCAACCGCCCACTTGCAGCTCACCTGAAAGAGTGGGGGTGGGGGGACAGGGTGGCACTGAAAGGTTGCTGGTTCAATTCCTGGTCGGTTTTGGACTTGATCCCCAGTAGGGGGCATGCAGGAGACAGCCAATCAATGTTTCTCTCTCAGCAATGTTTCTTCCTCTCCCTCTCCCTTCCTCTCTCTCTCTAAAAATCAATAAAAAACATCTTTTTTTCAAAATTAAGTAAGCAGCAAACATATTGGGAAAGGAGAGTCAAAATTGCCTTCCTCTGTAGGTTATCTGGTTATATGCCTTGAAATCTAAGAGACTTTGTTGATAACAGAATTAGGAGGAGATGAGTTGAGAAGCAAGGAGCTCTCCCTTGCTCTGGCGGTGGTGCAGTTTGTGGCTGCCTCAGCACTTCAGCACCCTCTGCAGATCTGTTACAGTTCCTGCATCACAGACCCCATTTTTCTGGAATTCAGAAACTCCATTCTGCAGTCTCCTAGCTCCTAGGGTTTGTTACCTGGTTTCAATTCTGCCAGGGAGACACATCCAGACACCAACAACAGGAGCCATGGAGGGGCAAGAGGCAGTGCCCAGTCTGCCAGCCCTCCTGCCTGGAGCAGCTCCTCTCGTCCTCCCAGCAGAGACCCTCATGAAAGCCTCCTGCTGACCAACTCAGGGACCCAGCTGATACACCTGAGCATGTGAGCACAGCCCCCACTCTCAGGTGAACAAGGTAACTTTACTCTTTCTATACCCATTTTTCTCTCTAGACCCATCCTACCAGGCTGGCAGAAACTTGACATATTGGTCGATGAAGAATACATCTTTTCCCCCCCAGAGTTGTGTCCAGTCAAGGGGCCACAGTACAGTGTGGTGGCCTGAGGCTATGTATGGCTCACCTGCCAGGACCACCCTCACCCATTACCATGCTGAGGTTTTGCTCCTCAGGACCCACCCACCCTCCACTCCTTCCAACCCCTCTCCCCATTCAGCCCAGTGGATCTCTTCTAGGTTTGAGGGAGGTCCCTCCCTCCCACTTCATCTAGAAGTGTTTTGAGTGGCTTCTCTGAAGACTTGCTCCTTCTGCCTTGGAATTTATATCAGAGATGCCCTGTCACAGTGGGTTGAGGCTCCAGCAGTCAAGCACTCCACCCATCATCTGCCCTGTCCATTCCTCAATCCCTCCTTAGTCGTCCTGCTTCAGTAGGACCTGGGGG